TTAGAGGAAACAAACATAAACACTTGTATAATTGTCGCCGACTGCAACTCCCCCAATTCCTCCTGCCTACCCCTCCGCAAAATCTATGCATTTTCTTCGTCAACGTATACTTGAGATGTTTACAGCATGATGGTCCTACAGGCACGGGAATTTCTGTTGCCGATTATTTTATATGAATCTGGGTGGTTGTCCGGAACATATGTATAGTCAAATTACTTCGACGAGAAAAATTTCTGGGTGTTGATAGAGCTAATAGCTTAGTACAGGTTTATGTCAGGTCTCACAAGCTAACAAGCCTTAAGTGGGTTTTAGCGCTGAGTTCTCGAGATGTATACAATTAAAGATCGATAGATATGAGGATTTTCTTGTACAACGTTTGAGCGCACGACCGCGCAGAAGCTCAACTTCTGTTTTTGCATTCATGCCTCCTCATTGTATGTAAGAAATAGTCATTACCGTCTCAACTCTCAAGTTTGTAACAAAAAAATGTATTTTCAATTTACACAGAAGAAGAACGGTACATATGTAGTGTGAAAAATGTTCATTTTTACACATATTTTTTAAATACGTGATGTACTGTGATGTAAAAAAATATAAACAAGCCCATATTTATATATATGTCCTAATTGTGGGAAGGGAACAAAAACGCGGGGAATCAGTATCCAATTAAAAGACAAGGTAAAGTATTCGAACGTGGATCTGGAAGTCCTAAATAAGGCACACCGCCATTTCATATTACCCGATTCTATTGGACAAGCAGTACAAAGAAATGTTTTATGTACTCTTATTTGTTCATTTTTTTAATAGGATAATCCCGATGACTCTTGCCCTTTGATTTATATGTCATATGAATAATGAAGGTGATGAAGCCGAATAGCCCATGACGGCGAAGCTGACACTGCCATGCTGCCTTGATATGTAGCAACTGCCTGAAGTTTTCCCTGAACACCCCCTATCAGGACGAATCAGCCTTATCCCTGCAATGCCAACATCAATATAGCCACACGATCAATTCATCGACAGGTACACTTCTTCTTACGAGACGTGTACATTTGATTTCTCACGTCTTACATGACTGTAGGAGGCGCGTATACGCCCACAACTCTTACTACATGATTGAGTAACTACAGAATATTGAATATAGTACACCATATTTTCGCGAGAGACAATATGGGCGTATCATCCTGGACCTTGATGGTCCTCTTGATCGCTTTCTTACATACATTTGCACTTGCCATGCCACATCGCCGACAAGAATTAACAAACGCACGCAATGGATTTTTCAAAGTATGCCTATACAATCAAACTACGTGTGATCTCCCTGAAAATAGGTGTTTTCAACGTCCTTTGAATCAGTGCATAAAAGACGACGGTGCGGCATTCAACGGGCCGTATGATGAGAACACCGATCCCCCCACAGTAGCGGCTCAGGAGGGCGTGTTAGCACAAGATAACTACACCATTTACATATATGATGACGGCGTTGCAAGGGTTACGAAATTAGAATGGACTAGTGCAGACTGCACCGGTCCGATAGTCGCCGACTATAATTTTTTACTGGACACATGCTTGCCGTTTAGTGAGCCTCAATTTGTGGACAAATTTGATGAAGGAGTGAAATACTTCGCGGTACTGGATCCACGTAAGTACCGGCTGTCCTTGTTTGGCATTCGTGGGAGCATTATGTGTTGCCAAACAATAGTTGGTGTTTTGGTACATTGTTAATGATATGGCGTGTACCGTGTACTGTGATCAGCTAAGATTTCTACAATTTGTTTACGGGGTATAAGAATCACTATTGTGCCCTTTAGCCAGCACGCCGCATTTGCATACTCAGAAGGAGTTGTTTAACAGTATATCTGAAATACGCCAAATTTGTTATTGATAAAAAAAATCGCAGTGGGCTCTGCTTTGATGAGTAGTTGATGTACGTCATATTTATGGAGTGCATTTCAATATACATGGACAAAATATGCTGTGATGAATGCGCACAAGAATGTGAATTCTATTCGATATACAAACCAAGAATGTCAGCAAATATAATATTTGTGGAATTTAAAGCTCCTCTAACGTTTCTGGCATGAGCTGCGAAGTACATATATATATATATATATATATATATAATACAACTATATATAAAATAAATAGAATATATATATATATATATATATATATATATATATATATATATATATATATATATATAATATAAATATATATATAGTATATATATTTATATATATATTATATATATATAATGTATATATATATACAATATATATA